AACTGTTTTGACTGTATATACATGTATGTAACATGTGTCCATCATGGTTTTATCAGTTTTGAGGACTTAAGGGTTAAATTGGTCCCTATTTTGCCCAATTTCTCTTCCAGTCTCATTTTGTGTGTGACATCTCCTATAGTTTTTTCTAGTAGGGTCGAAAATTGGATGTTCTGAGAGACATGGCTTCCGTTCTCGTTGTGTTCGTCTTTTTGCGACTTGGATGCCAAACTGTTTTCCAATGCTGAAAAAAAAACAATTTTAATTTTTCTCAAAAATATCAAAAATTTTATCAATACCTAATTTTCTGATTGAACGGATGTTTGTGTATTTGATAATACATTTCTGGTCATTTTTATCATAAATTTTTTTTTATAAAATTCAGACAATAAATTGATTCAATATACCAATTTTGAGTTTGCATTTTGACCTTCTTGGACCTTTTTTGTCGCCTTCATCTCAGAAAAACTCGAAGGGTGAACAAAATTTTCCGCAACTCACTTTTAACTTTTTCGCGTAACGTCTTCAACTCATCGGCTATTTGCTCAGACGTTCTCTGGTTGACCAAATTAGTTAACGAACTCTGAACTAGAAGGTCCCCTGAGGTCAACAACCTCCTCAATTCGTTATCAAATATCACTGGTGTTCTTTCATTTGCGTTTCCTCTGTCTTGTCGTTGGTTTACTGAACTGCTGTTGTTTGTAGCATAGCTCTGTTGGTGCGCAATAGCTGCTTCTGCTTGCTGCACTCGGTGTAATTCTAGGAAACTTGGTTGTTGTTTTATCAAGGAAAGCAACAATTTCAAAGTTGAGAACTCTATAGAAAACTCCGCCTTAATAGTGAATTGAAATAAATTGTGAACGCTTGATTTCATTCACAGTTTTATGAAGTGTTATCAAATTGGGTTGATTTTTTTATAGAAATTACTGAACTAAAAGAATCAGATAATAACAAGGATAGCCGGTTACTGTGCAAGTGGCACAGAATGTTCCGAACAATGTACCCAAAGTAAATAAGCGTTACTCAAATAAAACTAAGTTTTTACAGTTTAAATAAGCTAATGTTGGCTTTTAAGCAGTTAAAATAAGAAAATAAAAAATTTCAAACCGGTTTTTCTCGGCAAGGAGTGGTTCTAATCACAACTGTAAGAACTTCAATTTGATATATCACTCAACCCTATCCGATGATTATTTGTGGTACCTAGTTTTGCGTGGAAAACAAAAAGATAAAAAACTAAAACACAACCAAATACAAATTTACTCCCCAGTTTTAATGATCGGAACAATAACTTATTGTAACTTTCCAGCTTACGCTTATAAAGGTAACTACAAAAAACATTGGCTCCAATTTTTGCTTTTCGCGTGTTTATGGTTATTTTTTTGTTCATTGTTTAATTGTTTGTTGATTAATTTAACCACGAGGTGCGAAGAAACTTTGTGTTTCCCTTTTCTAAGTTTTTTTCCACTACAATCAGATTCGCCAAACATATGTCAGACAATTACCCAAACATATGTCAGATAAATCATATCAAAAAATTTTTAGTTCATCCAAAAGTTTTCTCAGTTTTCTCTTGGTGACGAGAAAAACAGGTTTGAAGCTTTGCTTTTAAGACAATTTTAGAGTGAACAGTAGTCCAACCTTCAAAAAATGTAAAAGAAGTAATGAGGGCTAGGAAAGCTATAATAAGATCGTTTGATGTCAATTTTCATTGCCTGAAGCTAGCCGCTTCAAGCTAGCTTGAAAAAAGCGATACAAAAAAATAAGGAAAAAATGTTACTTTTTTAAAAAGGTATTTGTGGTCAGAACTTTCTTTGTTACTGGGATAGCAATTGAACGCCCTTTTCTGAAATTTTTTTCAGTTGATAGCAATTCATTTTTAAACAAATTTTCAAAAAAAAAATCAAAATCAAATAGTTTTTTTAATTTTTGTGTAAAACTCTTCAATTAGCTGCCTACAGGGAGAAAAACATTGCTTCTAACAAATGGTTAATGGCTTCTCCACAGAACAATAATAATTAGTGTAGGATGAAGAAATCCTTACATTGTGTTTCACTGAAAAGCAATCACTTCTAACGTTTTTTTTGACGCCTGGGTTGACAAAAACCGCTGGTCAAACTTTTCCACACATGCAAATTTAGTTTAGCATTTCACACGTCCAGAAAATTGTCTGATAACTCTACGAATATATTTCTTTCGCAGCGTGAAAATGTGGACCAGTATGTTTTGCAGTGTAAAATTGTGTGACTAGCAGTTTTCGTTGTATCAAATTGCGTGACCAGCGTTTTCTCAGTATATAAAAATTAAATCACTTTTTAAGTTTTGCTTCAAGATTTTGTGTTTAATCTTAAGCTCAATAACCAAAGATTTCTTCATATGCAAAAACCATTAAATTGAGTGGCCACAATCTCGCAGATAATCTGCTTCTGGAGATTTGCCATAAAATTTATTGTTGTAGTTTCACACATACCAAAAATGTGTGTGTTCAAAAAATTATGTGTTTGTACATCGCGGCCGGTTTTTTAAGAAGCCTTAAAATTATCTGACTATAAAAAACAACAAAAATCAATTTTGACTTTACACAAAACACGCTCTCTGGTGTCTGTTTATTTCGTGCAAAAAAACTGGACCTGGACTTCGGTATAGACTGAAAACCAAAATTTACATGCAAAATTTTTTTTGTCAAAATTTGTTTGTTTGGGCCTAGAAACGTTTTTACGTCTAAAAAAAAATTTTATCACAATTTTTTTCTCATATTCGGATTTTTTTGAAAAATTCTAGTCGCACAATGTTCATAGAATGAAGTTGTTTGACTATTTTTTTCTAACAAAAAAATGTGTCATTTTTTTCTGAATTTTTTGTCTCCAAAATCAATTTTATTACAATTTCATGTTAGATACTAATTTTAAACATCCTCGGAAATAGTTATGAACTTTTTTATCGATGTAGAAAAAAAGTTAGTCATACAATTTTCATAGCTTGGAATTTTATGACTAAGCATTTTTCGCTCTTGTTTTGATAATTTTGTCTGAATTATTTTTTCTAATACATTTTCTACTGTTAATTATTTTTTGAAGCCATTGTTCAAGGTTATCATTTGTTCAAGGTTATCAAGGTTATCAACTTTGTAATCAAGTGTTTTATTTTTTTTTGTTGTTTTTATGCCTAATTGGCTAAGTTTTTACGCGTTTGTGTAAATCTTTCGTCACACCAGTGAGAAACAACGGCACTGAAAAGACGAAAATATAATACAACTTTTTTGTAGTTTTTTTAGAATTTGGTCGGAACATTCTGTGCTACTTGCACAGCAACCGGCTATCCTTGTAATAGTTCGAGTTGCTACAGCATCGCGGGTTTTTATTAAAAGCCGAGTAGTTAATCTCATTAGAGCTTGTAATTTAGTTCAACTAGTTGTTCCGGTCATTGAAAATGGGGAGGAACTTTGTAATCAAGTGTTTTAGTTTTTTTTTCTTTTTGTTTCCCTCGTGTTTTTTGAAGACTTTGGTCTCAACGTTTAGGGATACTTGCACAGTAACCGGCTGTCTTTGTCTTTGTTTAATCATCATTCTAGTTCACATGAAAACCATGTTCAGAGTTTTTGCCTGAATTGTCGGAATGGTTTTCAGGATGTTTTCGTTTTTTTTCAGCAAAAAAAGTTTCCTCTTGTTGATCGACTCAAAACAATAAAAAATAGAAAACAAATCCATGATTAGATAAACATCGGCAATAATATCAGCTTTGGCTGTAGTCCTACGGATATCGAAATTTCGTATCTCACCTCTTTCTAGTCTGTCAATTTCCTCTCTTAATTCCAGACTCTCCTCCAGTTCTGCCAGTCTCAGACTACTCATTCTCTCCAGTCCGTCCAGATTATCCATCCGCAATAAGTTCAAATCCTGATTGGTTATTGCAGAAGTTTACGGAGTTTAGTTTTGGGGAAAAGGTTTGTTTCATTAACAGAGTCAATTCAATTATACGCCGCAAATCGACTGATGGAAGTTTTGGTGTCAGGGCTATTTGCCCTATGCCATGTTGCCCTATACTAAGTTGCCCCACAAGACAGCATACGACAAGTTTTCATGTGGGGCAACTTAGTATAGGGCAACATGGCATAGGGCAAATAGCCCTGACACCAAAACTTCCATCTATCGATTTGCGGCGTATAATTGAATTGACTCTGTTAATGAAACAAACCTTTTCACAATAGGCTGGGATAAGTTGACTTGAGCCAAAATGACAAGTAACTGAAGTTTTCATAGAGCATTTTTTAGAGATCTTTGCATACAAAAATCATCTCGAATAACTTTTGTTAGTTTCCGTAGTGCTTCACGGGAGCTCAATTTTTTTTTAAATAATCTTACACAAGTGTACAAAGTTTCCTGAAGATTGCATGCTGACTACTTTTTCTTTTGGCTCATTTTTTGCAATCAAATTTTTCAAAAACGAAACCCCATCCCTGTTCGTAGCCCAATCTCGTCTCGGCAATCTCCCGCAAGTGACCCAGATCCGAGCACGACTCCTCGTGCTGCATTTTTATTCTTCACTCGTATCTGTCTTGAGGATAAAAACCGTACAAAACGTGGAAAACGAAAGAATTGGCGTACTGCCTGTCGTCGATTTGAAATTATATGGGTTCAACCCTGATTTTTTGTGCGGATTTTTGTTCTTTAACAGTTTAATGCCAGCAGTCGAAGTCGGTAATCAAAAATATAAAATAGAAAAACTGTCAATTCATTGGTTATCAAATGATGTAACAAAAATTACAATCAAACTGTAACAAATTTCGAATTCAAATCATCATCAATGAATTTATAAAGCGTATCAGCAAATAATGCAGAGCTCAAAAAACTTCTTTGCGATTTTTTTTCGCGTAAATCAATCAAACACAATAGTCATTAATCAAAAGGTGAAAACAAGAAAAAGCACTGACTAATTTGAAAGTTTATATATACAGAAAATTATCAGTTAAATAAGCACATACAAATACACGCACACAAATGAAAATCATGATTGCATATCGCTTTAAAGTATTCAGAAGTAGAAGCTTTAAGTAATGAACAAAATTATTTTCATCCATTTAAATTAATTCAGTTGTGCAACTTGTATCAAATGAATGAAATTAGGCAGAGCAATCTTTACGATTAGTGTTACAAAAAAGTTATTTTATAAATTAACTTCTGCTTAATCGAAGTTGTCAGTCAAAATGATCCACGCTGGAATCGAACTCTTGACCCTCGCTACGCATGAATGAATGCGCAGTTGTCGCCAAATTTGCAATGACCCATTGGGTAGTTGACACATTTTTCAGTCTTGTATTTCGGGTGCGATTTGTCCACTTTGAAGTCAGTCGGTGAGGGGGAGTTCGAACCCACCCCTCGTCCAAATCCTGGAGGTTTGCTCAGTTTGTTTTTGTTCATTACTCTCGAGTCGTTCCTGTTAGTTTTGCGGCTTCGTGAGTTACCCGAGTTTTCCCTTCGGTCACGCGACGAGTTCTCAGGAGTCCTCGAAGATCCGAGAGGCATTTCAGTCGGCGAGCTCTTTCGGCTAGGATTCTTAGCAACTGGACAGAAAGCACTGGATCGTCCGGGTGCCAAGTAGTCTCGGAAGGGATCCGGCTTTGCTCCTGGTGCTAGGTGAGATCTGAACTTGGATTCAGGAGTGCTGGTTCGTTTGAAAGACCTGCTGCTCCTGGGAGCGTCCGAGTTTTCTTTATCCTCATCATCGTCGCTGAAATTACTACCGATGTTGCTGTAAATCCACTTAGGTCGTCCTCCAGAAAACTCTTTCCCTTTTTCCTCGGATTTTTTAGCTTCTTTGAAGTCAATGACAATCGTGTTTTCCTCGCCAAAAGGGAAGATCAAAGGTCCTCGATTGTAGTAGAGGTTGCTTTCAGTAAAGTTAGGATACCTGGAAACCCTGGAGTGAGGAATGGTGCTTGTCGAGTGAGTTGTTGTGGTAGAAGCGAACATTTTGTAGTCTTGTGAATCCGAGTCCGATTTGGGTTCTAATTTATAACTACTAGAACTATTGTAGTTATTATAGCTATTTGAATTAAACTTAGAGATTTTAGTGCGATTCGAGGAGTTTTTGTCTAATTTCTGTCGCGACTGAAAGGCGGATGATTTGAGAGATTCTGATGAGAAAGTGAATCGATAGAATGATGATCTGGTTGATCTTCCGGAAGATGGTCTGGAAACGCGTCCAGTTGAGTGGTAATCAACGCCAGGTGCCAACACGCTTTCTAATCCACTTTGCAACAAGTCCAAGTTCAGATCGGTCTTTTTGTTTTGGTCCTGAAATGAAAAGAGTCTAGTTTTACTAGCGTGAATAGATTAATTTTACCGGAAGCGACAATTTGGAGTTATAAATGACAAGTTGGACGATAGCATGAATTAGCGTGTTTGAATTTTTTTCACGCAAAATTTTATCTGTACTATGAAGAGTTTACATTGTAGGAAAAATATTAATAAAATTACATGAATTAATTAGAAAGGTCAAAATTCACGGTGTCTCTAGATGCAGTCTCTGCAATGGTTTTTTCTAGAAGTTCTTAGATATCTTGATATTTTGTATAAAAACAAACAAAGTTGATTTTTTGACCTAAAAAGCCTGAATTTTTTGATCGTAACCTCTTAAGACATGCAATAGGTCAAGAGGTGGTTTCGATTAAATAGAATTGTTTTTATAGAACAGCCTAGAAATTAATGGCCATTTAAAGTGTTAAATAATGTTGCAAAATTAGAATGAATAAAAATGAGAAGCTAAATTTATTCCCAGCTAGAGAATTTAAAGAGAGAGCAAAAACTTTTTTTGAAAATCAAAACATGGGAAACACCTGCGAGGGATGTTTACCTTTTGGGCCATTTTGGGCATTGAATTGTACCCTGTATCCTCATCATCCGGACTAACTCCCCCTCCAATCTGACTATTCCCCTCATGAGTATAATTGGGCACGCCCCAAAGTGAGAGCGCTTCAGGTTCTTCCTGAAATCCTTGTGGCATCATCAACGGATCCACAGTTACGTAATCGTTATTGTATAACTCGTCCTCATTGTTGCGTAATCCGGAAGGGGACGAGTAAGACTCGGGGGTGAAATGAATGTAGTTATTTTGCAAAAAACAGCTCATTTTTTTCGATATGAATTTGAATCCGAATTTAGTTAGATATGCAGCTTGAGTTTATAAAGAATTAATATCGGTTTAATTTTTATACAGATTTTGGAATGGTTTAAAATGTGTACGTTTATTCTTCAAATTAAGAATTTAAAGCATAAATGGTATCCTCTTAAGTTACTTTTTGAAGATTGTGTTGCAGGAATCTAATTTACAATTATTTTATTGCTTTCTGCAAAGTTTGTTCGAATCCAAAGTGATATGATGATGGAATGGAAACCAAAATCGGGTTTAGCGCTGTTTTTGAAGATTGAGGATTAAAATAAAACTCAAAGGATGTTTATATTGAACTAAGATTCGGCACTTAGTTGACTTTTTATCGCATTTGCTTTTAATAAAATCTCGATCAAATTATAGATGCTGCTTCGAATTTTGGTAAGTTGGGATAAGGAAGCAAAGCAGATATAATGATATCTGAAAGCTCATCTTGTTGTTTTATACACCAACTGTAATTGTCTTTTAATTACCGCAAGCCATATTTAGTGTATTTTACAAATTAAAATCTGCCTCAAATAACATAAAACTTTTGAGGTAGTTCTTTTCTAATTTCCAAAATAGTTATCTCTAATAAACTAATCCATTGTAATTATGATTTTAGCAATTAGCAAGACAAAATTTTCATGTTGATTGTTATTGAGGTACCATATAGGACCAAATTTTAACCATACAATGTCATGGATCAAAACATAGATCCACCCTTGGGCATGGTAATGATTTAGTGGAATTTAATCATACGTTTTCAGCTTAGGAGAAAAACGATCCTTCATCATCCTTTTTAGATTCAGAGACAAATAATAAAGCGATCTTAATGTTTATTGAACTTTTTTGTTGTGAAAAAGTTAACGATTTTTGTAATATGTACATGATTATTAAAAATCCAAAAACAGAATTATTTGGCCATGCATTAAGCAACAGTGAAAAGACAAACCAAAAAGCTCTTTCAGATCAAAAACGCAGGGTCAGGTCATGTTAGTTTTCACAAAAAGATGAATCATTTGCACAACTGTTGCGAAGTAAGCCCAGAATAGTCCTGATCATACGATGCATAACATCAACATCTTATTTTATCACATCGTCAAAAGTTACCGTAGTCGTAAATGTCAACAAAAACAGTTTATTATACCAATCATAACTACTAACTAATATCAGTATATGCATATAATCAGGAATGGTACAAAACATACATTAAAGTTCTGATAAACAAAACACCTTTTATAGAAACTTCTGCCAAAATGATGAAAATGATCAACAGAAATTTAATCATAATTAGTTGGTGGGTTCCTGTAAACTAAATAGTTATAATTTATAAACTGGTTTGCTCGATGAACATAAATAAGCATATCCGCTATGCCTTACGACATCTTGGTTTGTAAACAAAGGTAAGCAAAAACCAACACAGGTAAATAATATTAGATATAACTTATCATTAGATAACTTTCGCAATCTTTCTTGATTTATTCTCTAGTTGGTATCAAATTGTTTACCGAAAGATTTGTTTGTTTCAAAGATAAACAACCCAGTAAAATTAATATCAAAACTCGTTCGTTCAAATAACCCGAACAAAAACCTCCGAAAAGTTGCATCAAACTTTTCATCTTTGCGGCAGAAATCACATTTTGACTTCAATTTAATCACTCGACCCTATTTGTTTTGACAAAAAAAGTTTTCTTTAGATCAAAGGCTTTTAAAACTTTCTTTAGATCTCAGGTTTATAAAACATGCAAAATTTGCAAGAAAAATCAAATTTTTTCAACTTTAAACAAAACTGTCAATCAGACTCTGAACTAAATCAGCAAAATAGTCAACCTGCTCCCCAGCCAGCCGACCTTTTGCAATCAGCCCAAATGACAGAACAGATTCTCTCGAGTGTCGGCTTGACGGACCAGTCGCTAAGTGCCCCAGTTTCAGAACTACCAGCAATAGTTTCCCAAGAGTTTCAGAAAGCACTTCTATTTTCCTGGCTTGCAAATGTTCATCTTAATAATGGACTTCAAATTTATAACATGTCTAAGGCTGTCAATTCGAACTTGTCGGCTTCAAGTTTGGTCGGCCAAAATCAACTTCTGGAAAAAACCGAAAACTATTTGGGTCAACTAAACGGTGATCCGAGTTCCATGGCCTCCGAGTCGGGATCCGAGTCAATCGATGGCGACTCTCATCTCCAATCAGCTGCCGACACGACTTCAACTTTTGTAACAATTCCGAAAATGGAAGCAAAAATTGACTGTGATTCGAGTTTCAAATCCGAAGCGAAATCCGAAAGACGAACTAGCGAGTCGTCTGTTACTTCGTCGTGTTCCTCGACTCTCGGAATCGGAAACACGACAGCAGCTTTGCTCAACTCGAGAGTGCAGCAGCCGAGTGTTTCCGAGTCCTCCTCGGCAACAAGTGGTATGAGTCATTTTCTGGCTTCGGCTCCGAGTTACATTTGCGTGAACTGCAACACCGAAAAAACTACTTTGTGGAGACGCGATTCAACTGTAAGTTTCAGACTCCAAATATGATAAAGTTTTGAAAAGTTCTTCATCAATTTTTGCGTTTCCTGTGTAAATTTTAAAATAATTGAGCAATTTATAATGATTAGCCTAAAATTCAACCATTAACTTTCACTGTTTTTTTTTCAGGGCAAGCAGGTATGCAATGCATGTGGTCTATACTATAAACTACACGGCGTGAACAGACCTGCCACAATGCGGAAAGAAGTTATTCACTCGCGAAAAAGAAAACAGCAACATCTACAAAACCATCAACAGAGACAACAACAACCACAACAACAACCACGAGAACAACATGACCTCGAAATCAAACAGAAGCTACTATCGAAATCATTCTAAACGAACATCAAAAAAGGGAAATAAGAAAACCCTCGTAGACTCTTGTAGCATATCATTTTACACGAATTGTATTAAAAGTTCTATACGAAGCAAAACTTATACTTTATGTTATAAGTTGAAAAATTTTTAAATTACAAATATATTCTATAAAGACTAAGTTTTCGAGTTTAATAATTGTGACCGCATTGTGCAAAGTTTAGTTTTTTGGCCAATTGTAATTTGAACAAAAATTAGAAGACGCAAAGCATAAGATTAACAGCCAACAAGTAATCACCAAGTCTTTTGTATCAGAGCGAAGCTCTCGAAGCCCTGAATGTTCTCAGTGCCTACCGACGACCAAAAACTATTTTAAAATTATTCTTGCAATTCATACATGAATCGTTCAAATTACTACAATTTTTGGCTCTGAGATTGTTTCAAGAAAAGGTTTTTTTCTTGAAAAAAAAAGTTGTAGGACACCCGCAGTGACAAAAATGAATAAAAATTCATTATATACAGAAAATCTACAGTTTAACGTAAGTATAAAATCGATTTATCTACAACCGTTTTTCGAACGATAACCAATTTTGTACAGATAGAATCCATTTTTTTCCACCAAAAATAAATGGAATTTAGAGCCAAAATAATCGGTTTATGTATTGTGTAAAACCTGTAAAGAAACTGTAGATAATCTGAATATAGTTAGCATATAATCTTTTTACAATAAAACCTGTAGATAATATGTAGATAATCTGTAGATAATGTGTAGATAATCTGTAGATAATCTGTATTAAATCTGTATCAAATTGATTAGACTGCCTAACTACAAATTGGTTACCGCAAACTACAAGTTTCAAGAGATCACTCTAAAACTTTGCATTCTAAGTGTTTCCGCGGTAACAATAGTAATTTTGTGCAAAACTTTTTCAAATGCCATTTAAAAGATCAACCTAATTAGCGCAATTTTGCGATAAAAACATCAAAATAATTAGAAATTAGAAAAATTATTATATAATAACTTATTTTTTGCTGCAATTTAATTACACAATAAAAAATCTGTAGATAATCTATATATAATCTGTAGATAATGTGTATATAATCTTCTTATACTATGAATAAATTGATACAGAAAAAAACCGTTTCAGAGTGTTTTGGCAATGATTATATAATGACGACATACAGTATAAAACTTTTGCAAAACAAAATGTCTTATGATCGATTGTTGAAACTACATAATCGAAGTTTTTCTAAATAAAAAAACAACAGGTCTGAAATCTGTATCATTTCCATAGCTAATCGATTTTCATCCATTTTGTCACTGCGGGCAGGAACATTGTTTTTTTTGAACTGTAAATATAGAGCGAGTTTGAAACAAAGCGGGCCATGCTTTAAGCAAAGCGGTCCATGCTTTAAATGTCCCATCTGCATGCCAGACAGTGTTGCTTTCCAAAATAGCTAAGTTCTTATCGTTTGCAAACATTAACATTCGGTCATTGTAATCCGGCTTCGAATTGAAAAGGAGGAAGTTATCCCCCCTCAAGGTGTTGCTTAACTCCAAGGGCGGGGCTATGTCTTTAATTGAGTGGGGTGCGGAATCAATTGCTCGTTGTCGCTGACCAGTTCTGGCAAGGGATATGTTATTAGGCATGTAAACAACTGTTTTGAGGATATTATCTTCAGCGTTTTTCACGAAAAAGTTCCTGGGAGTTTTTTTTGCTCTCTCTTTGTTAGCACGTTGAATCTTGAATTTTTACAGGTTTTTAACCAGCGAAAAAAAAAATGTTGATCTCCCAAAACACATCCTCTAGTCTTTAAAAAAATTAGATTGTTCAAAGGGTTATATATACTTTTCCACTGGTTGTGGTCAATTTCCTCCCGTAGAAACACATGCCCTTCAGTCATTCTAACTTAACCTTTAAAAACAAATTAAAATTAGAAAATTCCTAATTATGAAAGTTTAAGTTCGCGCACGTTTCAAAAATTTGAAAACTTCCCTTAGTTTTTAACTTTTTCCTTGCATGGAATATTTTTGCGATTATGTTCTCCAGATTTGTTGAATATTTTATCTGCCATTGTGGCAACGAAAGCTTTACACGGTCTCTTCACGCATCGCCATCCGGTTTTATCAGCTATTTTGTTGTTGCGGTTTAGGTTGAAAATTTCTCCATCGTGGACAAATTGCTGTTTTCGTTGCTCGCTCATGGCAAACTTTAACGGTATAATTTTATCAGTTAGTGAATTGATTTGAAAGATAAAATTGAAACAAATGAATCGAAAAAAAAGTTTTAGATGATACGAATAATTAAATATTCTTACCTTTACTGGTAAATTGTTTCAATTTGTTAATTAATTCAAAGCTGGTGCTGATTTAAATTTTTGAACGCTGGCTGGGTTTTCATCCCCCCACAAGCTTCACAAAACGTTTTGCTCAATTGCATAGTTTTTTTAATCGCCTCAAATGGCAATTAATCGAGCTGCTAATTACCGTTTTCTACGAACTGACGCTGAGTGCAAAATGTCATCCTTTAAAAACAGCTGCGTTGCTTGCGACCAATTTTCTCTTGCGACGAATTGTCGCCTCGCGCCTAAAACGTATCTAGGTTAAAAAGTTGTAAGAAAGGAGAAATTTACTAAAAGCTTTGTGAAGGGTTCTAAAGTTCGTGAATTTTATGTAGCATGGCATGGTCAACTCGGATCTTTTGGGTCGCTTATAAAATTGTGCTGTGCTAATGAAAATTCCATAGTACTCCCCCACGCATTTTAATGAACAAAAAGATTAGTTCCGGATCTTGTTACCCATCTTTTGAACCACACAGCGTTCTTCAACATATATTATCTTATTATATAACTCAAATTGGTATTTATAAACCCCTCCTCAGGGATTCGACCCCAATGCCGACCCAAAGGGTCCCCCTTTCATACATTTCAAGAAAAATCTTTTTGGCCGACCGACCCTTAAATTTTTCTAAAGGCGCCTTTGGCGCCAAGAAACACTGTTTTTGAGGGTATCTAAAAAAGGTTGTCAAAATCTTCGAAACTTTTTTGAAAATCCATCCCTCTCCCCCCCCCCCACCCCTCGAGAAAATTTTAGATACGCCCTGAATTGGATCATATTCTCAACATCGAAACGCCGTTGGGTTTCTTGTATAGCAAAAATTAGATCGCAGTCACCTGACTATGTGATAGTTGTCATCAAGTAACAATAGTCATAATGAAAAGAGCATCTTGCGAACTAAAAGAACGAGAAATTTCTCAAAACTGGTGGCATTTGCAAATCCACTGAGAAAAATTCGGCTCATTGGGATTTGAAGGAACCTGGGCCTTCAGCTTTTTGAAAAGAACATAAAAGTTGTTTTCGGGATAACACAAAGTGCCACAAAATTTACTGAAAGTTGCAACTATTTACAAAAAATTCATTTTCTGAATGCACTTATAATTTTGTACAGACTGCACACATCGAACACCTTCTTAACTGTTATTCCAAAGAGCAGCAGAAAAGAAACATAATTCCGGATAAATGTGTTCTTTCTCTTGGAGTAGTGATTCACTGGTTCTTCCATAACTGAACAGGAGTAACAAAATGTTTCAGAGATAAAGTGGTTTGTGGTAATCTCGGAATATTTGAAAAGCGAGCATTGCAACTTTACAATTAAATTGACATTTAATTAGCAGCGAAGTCAGCTCCGTTAGAGTAGGAGATACGTTCTCTCTATACTTCAAGCAGAATACGAACCAAGCAGCTGCATTCTGAGAGCGTTGAAATTTAAAAAGCTGATCAGCAGTCAAAGCAAAACAAAGATTGATACAGTAATCCAACCTTGAGATAACAAAAGAGCGAGCTAGATGAGCAGTGTTTTTAATTGATATCTATAGAAGACCAAAACCTCTCAAGTTTTTTGGATTTCGATTTTTAGCTAAAAGTGTCACATTCTGGGGCCAAATTATCACTTTTGAGTTGTTTGTAATGGCCAGCAGTTTAGCTTTTTCCGCAATAAGAGCTAGTACTTAAAAGCCAAACAAAAGCAAGTCTGATAAACTTTTGATCATCAACATGATGAGCCTCAAAGATCGATTGAAGGCTATTTACAATTGGCTGTCGTCAGCATACTTGTATTGAGAAAAAAGGTTAAACCATACCACAAGAATGCTTTGACAGCCAATTATAAATAGCCTTATATCGATTCTAATTATTCAAAACAGTACTGAAACAGCCCTCTTGATTCTCGCATCTGTTATAGCTGCAATGGTTGATAAAAGTTTTTTTTAGTTTGCTCTAACCTTAGCAGTGCCTTTGATACAATGTCAATTGTAACAAAAAATTAAACAAATCGGGCAAATTACTCACTTGGTTCTACAACTAATTGATTAACAGAATCGGCGTTGAGATGTGTTAGGGCGACAAATCGTTCAGGCGTAAAAAAAGAGAAAGGTGCCAGCATACACCGTACGGGGACCTTTTTTGTTCATTATTAATCTTCTCGGTGTTGACAAAAGGTTAAGCCATACCACATTGCCAACAACGAGTAGATCAATAATGAACGAAAAAAGTCCCAGTACGGTGTATGCTGGCGCCTCTCTTTTTTTACGCCTGAACGATTTGTCGCCCATATCTCAACGCCAAATCTGTCGATCAATTAGTCGTAGAACCAAGTGAGTATTTTGCCCAATCTGTTTATTGTTTTGTTAAAATTGGCAGTGTATCAGAAGCACTGCTAAGATTAAAATAAAATGAGAGAAAATTTTTTTTTATCAAGCATTGCAGCTATAACATATGTGAGAATCAACAGTGCGGTTTCAGTAAGGTTTCGAATAAAAAGCAAATGGTTTCAGTCATGGTGATAATTTGACAAAGCTTTAGCTACATGTTTCTCTAGGACCTTGCTGAGTAAAGAAGTGTACATGAGTTTTGGAAAAAGACTGAACTCATCAACTTTCAGTGATACTTTCACCAACGATGGGTGTGAATGAGCAATATTCAGTACGTCCTAAAATTCGCTGGTTTCATGTGAACAATTGAAACAGTTAAAAACTCACCTGCGAAAGAAAAATGGGCAGCTTTGAAAATTTTCAAGTCAATATAAACATCTGCCGCTGTCGAGATAACTTTAACCAGCACGTCCATTTGATGAAGTTAAATTTGAGAAAACTCGTAGAAACTTGTTTCTGAGATAACCAGATGTTCAAAGGGCAGATACTTTTTGAGGGAACAACAATTAAGAAGTCATACATTAAAAGAAGCATGTAAAATCTTCCTTTAAATTTGCAGAGTCGGACATGGGCATAACGGCAAAACGCCACTGTTGCTTGATCATATGATTTATTGATTTGTAGAGCAGCTGGGAGTAACTAGCGCCACAAAAGCTTTTTAGAAAGGAATAATGCTTTTTTCAAGAAACTCTTGAAGAACACAAGCTCGTGGTGGTGTTACGATAAAGTCTATGTAGAGCTAATGGTTTTCATCTGTTGTTCCACTTTTCTTTTCTCACGCTTGTGAGCAACTCTATCAGCTTCAACTAAACATAGTTTTTCTCTGCGAACCGTTTGCTTAAAAAGGGCACAGGATAGACATCGTCTTGTCTATGCTTTTCAATAGGTGTTCTAGATTTTTAGAACAAAAACATGTCTTCAGTTTCATTTCGAGTATTCTGGCGCGACAAACATTTTACGTTGTCGTTTTCAGGAATAGCTGATTGACATCATTATAACTCGATGTTCGATAAGCGATCACGGAGAATGAAGAAAACAGCAAAGTTTTTCGTTATTCTCACACCTAGCGAACACAGAAGTTTATCAATTGTTCAAGTGGGAAACAACAACGTCTATTTAAGTCCTTCCTCGAGAATTCTAGCGAGGACTTTTGCTAATTTTTAGTTTTAAAGGTTGTTGAATTGATTGTTAAAAATTTTGAGAACATTAATTAGTTCGGAACAAGAACTATAATGCGTTGCGTGCTTTAGAAATTTTATCCGCAAAGGTACGAACAATTCCAATGCTCGTCGATAAAAAAGCAAATGATAAAAAGATGTCTGTTTGTCACAATTTCGTACCAAAAAAAAATATCGACTGTCAATTTCAAAACGCTTGAGTTCGGTTTTTTGATAATTCGTGTTGTAAATCAGAAGCAACCCTCCTACATTTTTTTGTTCGTGTTAGCACTGATAATTTTAAACCCCTTCGAGCCAACTTGAACAGATTCAATTATCTCATTCTTCTCTAATCCATGTTTCAGTGAGAAAAAAGAATTTAAGATCAATTGATTTTTTGAGACTCCGTTCAAGTGAAAATTTTTCGGAGAGATCTGACATTCTACAGACAACAGTTGACATATTGCACTTTTTGGCTTTTAAGTCAATAATTTCTTCAAGCAGGGGCGGATTTAGGATTTTATCGAGGAGAGGAGGCAGATTTTCAAAGATTGACTTTCCGAGCTCTCCCAAATCCCTATAAACACCTCTTTTGCACAAATATTCTACGCCGCAATTTTTTGATAAAAGACAGGCCAAAAAAGGCGTTTTTAGGCCTTTTTGGAAAACATCGAAAAGTCTCGAGAAAGTTTTTGTCCGCTTACCATAAAAAAAATGAGAAATTCTTTAAATTGCTTTTTTTTCTACTTGAACATTTTTTAAACGTTGAAACCTGTACCGGTCGATTATTTGCAGGCAATTTATCTCGCAGCATTTAAAAGAAAAATGTTTCGAATTTTGAGGTACCCGAGATCTGCCGCTGAAGTATCTATCAAAACTGGTTACCAGAGTATAACTGATGCTTTTTTCTTCTCTAAGGGTATAATTTTTCAGATCGTGTCCTTAAATCGTGTATAATATTTAATTTATGATGAATAAAAAAATGATTTCAAACAATGGCTAGTGATACTTAAAAAGAATATTTTTCTAGGCTCAAAGTCAACTTTATTTGACCTGGGATGTGAACTCAATTATCTCAAAAATTTGTAAATTTACTTTGTAAAACTCAATTCTTTAGCTTGTGAGAAGTTGCTACCAGTTAATATGGCTTCTAATACAAACTACAGGAAAAGTTCAAAAATCCACTAATGGATTTTTTGCCAAAAAAATAAGAACCCAGCTGTTTGCTATATTTGCCCAGTTTCTTCAATAATGATACTCGTAGACCAGTTAATTTTTATCTAAAATGGATGCTTGCACTAAATGGAAAGCGGCAGTATTTACACCGAGGTCCAACTAAGACTTCAATCTGTTTTTTTTGGCTCGTAGACTAAAACTGAGGTTGGTTATAGTTTTTACCCTTGCAATGATCACCCTTGCAAATTGATATCCCATCAAGAATTTTAACCTATACGCTGCTCGTTATACTTCTTGAACTTTTAACTCACTTTTCTCGAACTCCTCAGATAGACAATTCTCACTTTTTTAAACTCGAATCAACTTAGCACCGTACAATTTCACTGCATACCATTTGAAATTTCAAAGTTACGGTCAAACTTGAGCGTGCTAAAATATTTTTTTCTATGTTCGATATTTATAATATATGAGACGCAGGAAACATTTGCCTTTACATCAAATTGCTGCTCTTTTCCAGTTCCCCCTTGCAAATTCAATTCTAAAAAGCTTATTTAACCTTGTCATAATGCAATGAAATTTGGCGTGGTGAACGAATCAACAATTCTAAACAGATTTGTTCTTCATACTTTACAGCGTAACATCACACATTTAGTCGTAATAACACGTAAAACAAACATAAAACTCGGTATTTTGAAAGGGGGGACTGGAAAAGAGCCCAAATTGATTTAAGCTGAATAGTTTGTGTCGCTTTTTAGCCAATATACACTTCGCATATAATGATTCCTAAATGATGTAAGTTCCTAGTCTACACGCCTCGTAAAAAGAGTATTTTAATGATTATGAATGAATTTTTAAGAAGCAGTTTTTACAAATGGAAATTATACAATAGGCAAATACAGAGTAAATTTTTACCAATTTTTCTACACTTCAGGATGTCAACAAGTTTGGTGTCAGTTTCAAAGCTTAAAAGTAGGAAGGCTTCCATATTTTATGGTCGCATTTAGATAAATGTTGCCCTCGAAACAATCCTTTCAAGCTCTTAATTGTCGTTATTTGGGGGTTGGGTCCGTCCAAGGATTCTTTCACTTCCAGAGCCTTTTTACAGATTTTGCACTCTCGTTCAGGATAGGAAGGCAGGTGGTCGAAAGCTTTGTACTCTGTCCGCCATTTGTGATACTCATAGTAGGCAGTTTCATTTCGAAGTAGATAACTAAATGACAAGGTAAGTATCTGCTTGGTTAGAAGGTACAAAATATATAAAAATATAAAAATAAATTGTATATTTTGTACAAATCTTTATACGTTATGAATTAGTCCGTTATAGGGGTGAAAATGTGTATCTAGTTTCTTTGGGGGTAATATTTAAAGAAATTTGATGCAATGTTGACGCTCAAAAACGAAAATTTGGTTTCAAATTTTTCAATTTTTGTTACCGGATGCAATTAAACGCGTAGAAAACACAAAAATGTGTAATTGTTCCGACTTTTGATACGAAAGTAACGGAATATTTGTGCTCGGGGTGGGTTTTTTTAAACTTTTTAACTAGCCATTTTGACGGAATTTTTGATATCATTCAAAAGGTATTGTTGTCCTGAGCTTAAATTTGGAAAAATACTTCACCTGTGATCATTTTTCGTAAAGTTATGAGGGTTTAAAGATTGCCATTTTGGCCATTTTGACCAATTTGGGACAATTAACGCGCGATATAGTTCGCGCTATTAACGCGTAAGCGGAGATTTAATCCGTCTTATAAATCGTTCCAAATTGGTTGAACGAAGCTTATTTGCCATAATTGATTTGTTACAAGGAACAAAATCTCTCTTTTTGTACTTTATATGGCGTGTGGGGGGATGATTTTCATAAAAACTTTCAAATTTTAGAAAAAAAATTTCATTTTATTTTATTTCATTTAATTTAATTTTTTATGTTATTACTGCTGCTCCATAAACCTTAAAAGGCAGTCGGAACATTCAGGGTTTCGCCCTGATACGAGCAGTCTTGTTGTTCCGACTTTCGATACGAAAGTAACGGAATATTTGTGCTCGAGGTGGGTTTTTTTTTCTTCAGACAAGTGTCGACTTTTTAACTAGCCATTTTTGACAAAAAAAAATTTATCATCCAAAAAGTATTGTTGCCCTGAGCTTAAATTTGAAAAGATATTTCACCTGTGTTCATTTTTCGTAAAGTTATGAGGGTTTAAAGATTGCCATTTTGGCCATTTTGACCATTTTGGGACAATTAACGCGCGATATATTTCGCGCTATTAACGTGTAAGCGGAGATTCAATCTGTCGTGAAAATCGTTCCAAATTAGTTGAACGAAGCTTATTTGCCATAATTGATTTGTTACAAGAAACAAAATCTATCTTTTTGTACTTTAGATGGCGTGTGGGGTGATGGTTTTCACAAAAAATTTCAAATTTAAGAAAAAAAATTTCATTTTATTTTATTTCATTTAACTTTTTTTTGTAATATTGGTGCTCAATAAACCTTAAATGACAGTCGGAACATTCAGGGCTTCGCCCTGATACGAGCAATCTTGTTTTTCTTTCAAATTAAAATCATAATTAATTGAATCAATTTTCATCTCAAATGCACTTTTTTTCTTCTCAAAATACTTTTCATAACTGTAAGATCGCTATTTTCACACGTGATAATCGGACCGACCTCGTGCGTCGACGGAAATTAGGCGTAGGCGCAAAACTATTGGCGGGGGAGTTGAAAGATAGTTCAAAAGTGACACTTACCAATTCAGATAGCTAATTTTATCCCCATGCTATTTTGAATGTAACCAATTTTGATAAGATTAGATCAAAAGTCACCAATTTTGACAAAAGCGCGCAAAATCTGGAACTGCCCCGGATTGGGAACAACTGGTCTGATCCTTGTGAAAACTGGTGGGTGACGAATAGAGATGAATGTAGCCGGGCATGCCAGTTTCCAGACCCCTGGGACCCCTGGGGGGCGAGTGATAATGATTTCCGAAAATGCAATTAGCACTTTTTGTAAACCGGTAACTAATGGTCAGAATGACTTCATATTGCAATATGTTGTAGCCCTAGGTGAGGGAAGATCACCACCGGGATTTTGAACGCATCCGGTTATTACTTCCGGTTTTACGCTCTAAGTAAACAAAACACACTTTTTGTTATTTCTCGACCCCTGATATTGCTAGGAGGCTGAAACTTGAAGGGATGGTAGGTTGGGGGAAGACCTATAATGTAGTAATGTTTGGACCCAATCCGGCGGTTACGTCGGAAGCTATTAGCACTTGAAAATTGAATTAGGCTAATAACACCTGATAGTGATAATTGACTTGTGATTTTAATGCACCAATGTGAAGGGGGGCCCAACCCATTAGGGGGACCCCTAGTGACCCAATCCTCTCCGGAACTTTCTTTGGGGTGAAAATGGCAATTTTAGGGAAAAGTGTTAATTGACCCAAATTTTTCGAAAAAATGTGAAGGTATGGTCCGATATGAATAAAACTTAGTGGGAATGATCTCCCATCGAAAATAAGACGTTTGGACGCGTTTGACCTCATTTGACCTCGGATGACCTCTAAAATGTCATACGACATTTTTGACCTCAAGACCCCCGGAACCCCCTGAAAAGCAATAAATTAGCATTGTAGGGACCCGTAAGGGGTACCTACCCACCTGGGGAGGTAAGGGGAGGCCCCTAAATCGAGAATTTTTAGTTTTGACCTTTAAACCCGAGCGAAAGTGATTTTCTGTAATTAGCAAACATTGGGGTCAGCTTAACCCACTCCACTTGGACTTTCGATAAGAACGACAAACAAGTAAAAATACAGCCCCGGAAAAAAAATTGGGAACATTTATGGGGGGAAATGGGAATTTCGGGATGAAGATTTTATGAACAGCCCTAGCATATTAAATAAATTCTTGTGGTGTTTTTTCGGATCAAAACGGACACGGGGAAGGGAATTACCCAGCCCTTGGACTTAGGGGAACAAAATTAAAAATGACCACAAGTGGAAATTTTTCAAGTATCATGGAAGTTAAATTCCCGGTTATGTGAGAACTACCCAATTCATGGGAAAGGGAAAAAGTTAGAAAGAACTAAAATAAAATCATGCAAGGGGTCATTTGTCAAATACGATTGGGAGCTGATTTTGTAGTTGAACCCAATGTTTGCTCAGTATGTCCTGATTAATTCAGCGCCACCCCGATGTTTAATTAAAGCTGACCTAATGGTTGATTCAGCTGATAAGTCCTGAGTGGCAGCTAGTTAAGCGAATGTTAGTAGGGATAGGGAACGGTACGCCCCTGACCGAACCCAAAGTAAATAAAGATAACGATACGCGATTATGGCACAACCACCGAACTGGACAGAAAAGTGTTAACTACTACTAAGAGTAGTTGGTTCTCAATCAGAGAAGAGAGCAATTGATATTGAGAGAGAGAAAGAGTATAGTTGCTTCTCCGTTAGTTAGAGGGAACAATTGTGAGACTTATAGAATTCAGACGGGTCCTGAGAGTGACTCGTGAAATTTTTAAAGTGAGTTCTTGACGCGAGATTTTTAGCGAAGCCTTGTGAAGCAAAGTTGAAGAGTTGTTCAGAATTGTTTGTAAAGTGAACTGCAAGAGGCAGCTTTCCGGAACTTATGGCAGATTAAATTCGTTGATACTTAATAAATTGTATTCAGGCCACTTAGCGGTCCTTATATTCGGCAATTTATAGATTTATTTCTGAATTCAATTACTATCCAGTTTCTTGCGATTCTTTCCGAGGAAAAGAACAGTCGAGAGCAATCGAACAAAGGGGGCGCAACCCAGTGTAGTACATCGATCGACCACCAAATTCAATCTTTCAACCAAAGGGATTGTCGCCAAATACCGGATCACAGCTCACCCCTTGCTGGTTCTGGTATTTAGGGAAGGGACTTAGCGGACAATATAGAAGACCCCCCATATTGGGTCTAAACAGTCAAATTCCTCAAGACGACAATAACGAGGCCAAATTATGATCTGGATACGCGCAACGTTTGGTACATGTAGGACTTGCTTGAAGTCCATTATAATGGATTATATAATAAGTACAAAATCATCTTAAAGTGGATTTTTGTCCAATTTATTTTCTTTCGCGTTGTGAAAAACTGTGCAAAAAATTATGCATTTATCAATTGAGTAATGCGGAAGTTTTGCAAATCGAGCGTACGGCCTACTCCATTTCTAAACCTAAACTTTCTCAAATTGCAAAAAGATTCCGTTAAGCTCACCCCCCCTAGCGTTTGTCCCTTTGCCACTTTACAACCCCCCGAGCCATTGTCTGCTCCTTTGCCCCCTCCCATACCTGAAGCACTCGTCTCACATGACCACCTGAAACATCTCCCACCTAAACAACTCCTCCAACATCCCCCTGAAAAAACATCCCACCACCCACTCTTCCCCACACTGGAACCATTCCCCCAAACTGACAACCTGAACCACCCCCTCCCCACTCTAAAGAAACCACCCCATCCCCACTCTAAACAAACCATCCCACCCCAACCTCTTCCCCCTAAAGTTTGTCCCTTTGCCCCGTCAACACCTGAACGAGCCCTGCCCCCATCTGACCGCGTGAACTATCCCCCACCTAAACTCACCCCCACTCAGGGGTGAGTGTGAACAACATGTAACAAACATTTTTTTGTTTGGAGTGTACAAAACACTTCATGTGCGTTAAAAGTTGCATTTCAAAAAATGGAAAAAATTGATTATAAGGAAATTTCATTGTCTTGATTTAATAAAGTGAAAAATTACAATAACTTTTATTATAATATATTATATTATAACCAAAAATAATTGACTTGCAGTGGATTTTAATGCTTTATTAAATTAAAGTAACAATCCATTTTTGATTGATTATAAATGATTATTTTCACTATTGAAGACACTGACAAAAAAACTCAAATTTGATCGATTTTTATCCATGGAACTACATTGCGGGTACAAGATGTCTAAAAAAAAGGTTGTGACGAAACAATAATAGGCACATTAATTGTGTTACGAAATCAGCAAATTGAATCAGATTTTGCATTAAGAAGTGGATTTTGTAATGATGAGTGGCTTCGTGGCTTCCGCAAATTTATTACCTAAAACAGCAAATGTAGGCGATTTCCAATAACAAAATGCGAAACCCGCTAGCAAAATATGGAATTTTTGAAAGCAAAATCCACAGCCTCATACTCTAGGAAACTATTGATCATCGGGAATCTTTTCAGATCCGACCACTGAAAATTCCTAAACATTACTCCGTGTCAAAAAAAATTGGTTTGAGGGGAGAAGAAGCGACATAATGGGACAAAAAACTTTTGTTTCAGCCTGAAAAAGTTAGTTGTTCTCTAGTGTTTTAATTAACACTCCTGGTCAATAATTTTTTGAAAAAAAATCAAAATTACATCCAGCCAAAAATTGAAATAAATTTTGGATTTCTTCGTAATTTTATTAAATTGTTTTCAAAATTTAACACATATCACGACAGACAAAACTGAAAAAAAAAAATCAATCATTTTCATTTCTGATGTGGGAGTTTTCTGAGCTGCTTTTCACAGCAACCGGTTTCAGCTCCCAAATTGGGTTTTCTCGGGTTCAATTGTTTTTGGGAATTGGTTCATTTCAACCATTTTGGTGTACTTAGTTTTCAGGAACCCTTCAACTCAATACTCGTACCTTAGATGCTCGACTAGTTTTTCAGTAGATCCGAACTGTCTCGCGTGGATGTAAGAAGAACTGGGCAGGAAGTTGTTGTAGCTCTGAGGCCATCCGTTCACTATCGGCACTGCGTAAACAGCGAGCGGGTTGCTAAATTTCTCGGTTACGTAACCTAAACATAATAAATAGAGATTATTGGGATAAAATTAACGTCCTCACCCACGCAATTATTTAATTTGGGGTAGAACATCGAAAAACTTTGTGTAAAATTCTCTATTTTTTGACAAGAGGATGCTGATTTGGCCCGAAAAAATTGAAATGGATTTTAAATTCAGTATAATCCATTCGTTTCAAAATTTTTGACTTTGTTATAATCTCATAATTATTGTAAGTTAAAGCGGGGAGCGTACGGTAAAGCGATGTGTCAGTAAATTACCAGATCAGTAACCAATTTACGTAATAAAACATCAATTGCGGAGTTAAAGATTAATAGAATAGATTTTCCCCGAGCTAGAACAATTATTTCAAAATCACCGGGCTCATGGGAAGAGTTCTTTTAAATCATTTTTTGATTAAGTTTTTGTTTCTAGGAAAAAATTGATTTGTCATTTTGTAAAAATCTCAGTTTATAGCTAATGTGATTACACATTATAGCAAAGTAACAAAAATCAAAATTGCATCTAGCAGGGGCGGATCTAGGAGGGTAAGCGTCCGCAGTTGGAATGTCCGAATCGCAGGGGATCGAATCGCTAAGGTCGGAAGGTTCTGCGCTGCTTGCACAGCAACTGGCTTCAGCTCTCGAATTGGGTTTTCTCGGGTTCAATTATTTTTAGAATTGTTTTTATTTCAACCATTTTGGTGTAATCATTTTCCATGAACATATCAACTCACTACTTGTACCTTAGATGTTTGACTAGTTATTATTACGTAATTGAACCATGAATTTTCTGTTAACTGATCTGGTCCGCCCGTTTTCGGTTTACTGATACATCGATTTACTGACCTACCATACCACCGTTAAATCATATTCTCTGTCTGGATCTCTTTAACTACTCCCCCCCCCCTAAAACGAAGTAACGAAATGCCACCCCTATGATGAACTAATTTGACAGTTAAGCATATAAGAATTTTGCACCTAATAACGAATGTCCCCCTTCCCGAGTTGCCACCCCCTTCCCCGCGTTGCCACCCTTAAATAAAGAGATCCCTCAGTTTGAATGCCTGTTTGCATCAGGGCTAGGAAACAATTAATTGGAAAACAATTAATTGCAATTAATTGGATCCAATTTAATTGATTGTCGAGTCCATCCAATTCTAATTAATTTCAATCAATTGCGGGGTTTCAATCAATTGCAATTAATTGCATATCTTATACAACATTTCCAAGTTGCGACTCCATTTCGTTTTGTTCGTGACGTGAACCAGCTCAGAGAAAGAATCTTCGGAGAGAATTGTGGCAATTATTTCAGTCATTATTGACGAAGAAGTGAAAAAAAAAATTTGGAGTAAAGAAATCATAAAAAAACTGGAACGCTCTTAGTTTTTGATCTAATCACGTTCGAAATTGATTGTTGTCAGTTTACTTTTCACATTTCAGTAAAAATTCATTTAATTGCAATTAAATGCAATTAATTAATTGATAGACTGGCCAAATCCAACTAATTAATTGCAGCAGTCCATACTTGATTGGAAGGGCCCAATTAATTGTTTCCCTACCCCTGGTTTGCATACCTGTGCAATTGGCATTTTCGAACGAGAAGTAGAACTTGCAATCCCGCATGTGTGCCTGTCTTGACTTCTGAGGTTCATTTTTAGTCGCTTCATTGCCAAAAGAGCCGTGATCCTCTATGAAGTCCGCCGCCTCTTTGAAGCAGTTTTTCGCACCCCCGCCAAACATGTGAATCTATTCAGATACAAAAGTAGGATAGGATAGTATGACTCATTTTTTCGGTGTATGAAGGTCAATGTACATTTAACAATGTAGATTTTAGAAACTGAAATGGATTTTAACTCGGTTTAAATTAATTTTTCCTGAAATTTTTGGATCAATTTAGGTGCCTAAAAAATCAAATTTTTTTTGATTTGGATGGATTTTCCTATTCACTAAAATCCATCCAAACCTTGCCAAAATCCCTTCAAACCCAATTTAATAGACCCTTGAGCACATTTCTTTTAGAGTACAAAAAAATTTCTTTCAAATCAATTTAAACAAAAATCTTTGTAAGAAATCAAGAAAATGGTCGGTATAAATCAAATTATGAGATCAAAACAAGCTATTAAATCGTAAAAATTCATCAAAAACCAATGTAAATAAAATTTTGAGCAAAAAAATATGAAACAAATTAAGAAAATGGTCAAAACAAATCAGATTTTGAGCTTAAACAAATTCTATAAAATGAAAAAAATCTCTATTTAACAAATTAAGAAATTAGTCGATATAAATTAAATGGCACACTAAATTATACCAAACTGCAAAGAAGTTTGATTTTTTAAATTTATTTGGTATTTTTAGTATATTATCAGAATCTATGGATAAAAAAATCAAAATGATTGGCAAAGAACAATTGGAACACAAACTTGGATAGATTTTTCGTTAGCTGGGATTCAAGATCAATTTAAATTGATTTGAAATTGATTCAAATTAATCTTAATGTTTTCTATTTAATCTTTCTATCTTTTTTCAGTCTTTTCAGCTATTTGAAAGAACTCGGTAGGAAAACTCATCGCTTAGATTAATAGTATAATCTTTTTTTAACAAATTAACTAACAGGTGCAGAATAAAGTTCTTCGACAATCGCAATGTTTCAAACAAAATTCAAATTTTATGAAAGAACATACGAAATGATTATGAATGAACCCAAAGGAAAGTTCATAGGTTTCAAGCTGCTGTTTGAAAGTATCTCAAATAGAACAATTCTGCAAGATATTGAAAACTGCAGACTTCGAGGAGTTCTCATCCAGTTGTTGTTGAAATTGCACCGGACAAACATATTGTATATATTCAAACTATGATCCAATCTGTCAAAAAAGAAGACGCATTTTCGTCACGAGCCTGAGATCTAGGACCACTTTCCAACTTTTTATAATCAACGAACCACTTAAAATTACAAACTCAGAAATACTTCATTACATGCTGTTGATACAGCAATAAAGCAAAAAATACCCGCATTCAATAAAAAGAGAAAAAAATCGATTATATTATGATTATAATTGTTCTTAAGCAAAATTATAATTAATTATAAGCGCCAATTTTAGATGTTTCAACGATTTCTAATCCAATATAATGATAACGTTTTTGGTGACATTTTAATAAATTATAATAATCAATTGTAATTAATTATAATTTTTCCGAAAATCTCATATAATCTCTTATAATCTCTTATAATCTCTTATAATCTCTTATAATCTCTTATAATCTATTATAATCTCTATTATAATAGATTATAATCCCTTTTCTATTAAAATACTATTTCACAAGCAAAATCAATTATCATGGATTATAATTTAGCTATTCTGCATGAAAACACAGTAAAAATGAGTAAGAAGTAAGAAATCAGTAAACCAGGGGCAGATCTAGGTTTTTCTCGAGGGGGTGGGGGAGCTTATTCTCGAAAAAGTTTTAGGTCGAGCAAATTGATTTTCTGAGCTCTCCCAAAGCACTCAGAAAACCCTGTTTTGGCCAATTTTGTGCGCGGCAGGCAAAATTTTGAAAAAAAAACAGGCCAAAAACGGCTTTTAAGGCTTTTTTTTTGAAAATTTTCACCAAAAAATTGCGATTTTTTTGAGCGCTCCCCCTTCAAAATTAGCATATGTTGGCCCCTTCAAAATTAGCATATATCTCAAAACAGTTCAAAAGGGGGCCATGTGGAGCGGCAGGGTGTCGAATTCCTGAGGGAGGCATTCCCCCCCCCCCTTAAATCCGCTCCTGCAGTAAACAGTAAACAGTAAGAAACTAAACAGCAAACAGTAAGCAGTAAGAAAAGATAGCAACTGAAAAGCACACAAAGCAAAAAATGAAACGAAATGAAGCGGTGAAGTTTGTTGAATAATAATTGATTATAATCGATTAAAACGGATTATAATTAAATAAAATTTCAGAAATTATTTTTCAAAAAATAATCGATTATAATCGATTATACTGGGTTTTTGTTTCGAAAATTAATAATATTATAATCCATTTTTATTCGATTATAATCGATTTTTTTATGACATTTAAAGAGAATGACAAAAAAAGTCTATCATAATCTATTATTTTCCCTTTTTACTGAGTGCGGGTATATATAATGGTAAGACGATAGGTTTTTAAAAAAATTGGATGTTGTTCATAACCCTAAAAGTTAACATTGAAACTGGACAATTCTTAACGCAAAATTTGTTGGTAGAAAAACCAGTACTAAAAGTTTTAAATCATAAACATGGACTTTAAAACTTTTTGTACTGGTTTTTCTACCAACAAATTTTGCGTAAAGAATTGTCCAGTTTCAATGTTAATTTTTAGGGTTATGAGCAACATCCAATTTTTAAAAAATAAATATAAAAAAAGCCTTTATTATAAAAATTTTGGCTTTCACGTAGAAACTTATTGTAATTAGTTCGATTATTTTTTTACGTAAGCCATTATAAATGATATCAAGATTGTTATTAAAAACCAAGGAATCCTGTAAAAGAGTGGTATTATTTTTAAAAGATTTGTACCACAGATAATTTAAAAAAGAAGAAGAATTTAGTTATTCGGTGTGTTCTAGTTTTTCATTTTTCTTTTTGTTCTCCACACAAAATCGGGAACCACAAAAAATCATTAGATGGAGTTGACTTATATAATTTTTAAAGCCCCTCTAGTCGTGATTTCAACCACATTAAGCAATTTAGAAAAAAATTCTGCTAGTTGGGAAAAACCAAATTGAATTTCTTCATTTTTTGTCAACTTTCGAGCGAGTAAAGGCATCGAATAACGTTTGCTATAAATATAAAAAAAATAGAATTTTTGTCCAAGTCAACTTGATATTAATAAAAAAGACTTCATTCAAGTGTTATCTGGCGAAAAAGTTCTTTCAACAAAAACTTAGAATTTTCAGAGCCAAAAGCTTATAAAAAATTTAATTTTTTTTTCGAAAGTGTTCAAATTTTTTTATCTTCTTTTTGACGACCATTGGATTCGATCAAACTTAACTATGACTAAAATTTTACGCTTAGTATAGTTGCATCATCTCAAGAAGTACAAAAAGACACTATCTTGAAGAAAAAAAGTTTTTTTTTCTGAAAATATCGTCTGAAAAAACAACGACTTGCACATCACGCTGTGCTGTTTTCATATCAACCAGCTATCCTTGTTTTTATTTTTTTGTTATTACATAACGCTTGTTTTTCTTATGATTTTGAAAAAATTGTTTTCCAATTTGTTTTTTGTTTGCCATGACTGTCAAAAATGTTTAAGCTTTATTTTTTCATTTAGATCTTTTTTTTATCAGACCACGCAGAAAAAAAAATTATTTTTGAAAAAAAACGAAATTTTTTTGTAAGACTATGGTCGGAACGTTCTGTGATACATTCTGTGATTTTTTCTTCATTTCAAACGATCTAATCAATTTTGATGAATGCTCGATAAGTTTTCAGACAGTTTTGTAGCGCAAGAAATCATTTCACAAACTTTTTTTTTCAAGGTTTAACATAGTGAAAACTTTCAATTTGATGTGTTATAAAAGATATGCAATTCAGTGAAAAATTCTCCAAGAATTAAATAATTCTATCAGTCCCTTCAATATTTCTAGATTTTTCTAGCAAAGGTGAATGACTCAATAATTCCAAAAGACATATTGTCTCTTTACTTTGAACAGAAAAGTTTGCACAAGGTCAGTGCAGAGAAAATGATTCAGATATAGATTTTTTTGATTTTGTAATATTTTTAACTCAGTGGTTTTTTGGATCAAGCTCTGCTTTGCAATTAGAGAGTAACTCAAAAAAATCTAAGAAGTTGTATCGTAACAACCAGCTACTATAAATCTTGTTAGTTAAACTATAAATAAACTATAAATTGTTTTTGTTTCAGCTTTTTTCTCTCGGCTTAAAATTTAGGTTTCTTAGGGGCTCTACGTATTAGTTAGAACATAGTTGAAAGATGCACGAGGGAAAAAGAGCCCGGCCTGAGGGCACGAAGCGCCCGAGTGAGGCTCTTTTGCCGGGGCCGTCTTCAACTATGTTCTAACTGTTGAAGAGTATGTTTTGCTCTTTCTCAGGGAAAGATGCCAGAAAATTGTGAAAGAGCCCGGAAAACTGTGAAAGAGACCGGAAAAGTGCGCGAAACTATGCAAATGATTTCTTTTTTCGTGCATGCGTTCTAATATTTCATTTTTCATTCATGCCTTGTCGGGAAAGAACATGTGTGAAAGAGCAAAAACATACTCTTCTAGTTACGCCATTGAGCTCGAGGACCCTTTGATTCCATTAGCTTTTTACGCAAAATTATCTTACTTTTTCTGGAAGTTGTCGGATTATTTCCAGGCCCAGAGTAACTCTTGGAGTCCAAGTATTGGCACAGTTGTTGATTGCCCAGCAAAACGCTTTCGACTTGTTGAAGCTCCGATAATTCTCAATGACGTCCACCATCTTTAATTCGTTGCTCTTTTTTACGTGAAAAACACTGTTGATTTCCAAAGACTATTTTCCATTTCCCGACCTTTTCCAACCATAAGGGAAAACTATGAAAAAAAGGAATCTTTATTCTTTATGGTTTTAAACGCCAGCTGTAGTTATATCGCATTGGTGAAACTAAGATTTCAATCGATTATAATCAGTTTTAGTATCATTTTAAACTTGTAAAAATTGATTGTAAGCAACCCAATTAGACACTAAAATTGAAAAAGGGGATTTTAGTCTGTTCAAAAAAGCGGTTTTTGTTCAGGGGCGGACCTAAAATTTTCTCGAGGGTGGGGGGCGTTTTCCAAAAAATTTTCGAAAACTTTGTCGACCTTTTTATTTTTTTAAATTTTTTTAATTTATTTTCAGAGTTCTCCCAAATCACTAAAAATACCCTGTTCTCTGTTTCGGTCAAACTTTCTGCGCCGCCTACAAAACTTTGAAAACAGGCCAAAAAAAGCGTTTTTAAGCACTTGGAAAACTTTGACCAAAAAATCGCGTTTTTTTGGCGCGCGCTCCCCCCTCAAAATTAGTTTATATTGGCACCAAAGGCGCCTTTAGAAAATTTTTAGGGTCCTTCGCCAAATATGGATATCTCAAAATAGTACAAAGGGGGACTCTTTGGGTTGGTAGGGGGTCGAGAACCTGAGAAAGGGGGCCTCCGCCCCCCCCCCCCTAAATCCGCCCCTGATTGTTTAAAAAATGGATTATAATGTCAAAAAATGGAATTGTTTAGCTGTATAAAACCCCCAAAAATCTGTATAAATTGTTTATTTTTGACTAAAAATTGTATATATTTTCTCAAATATAATTTTTTGCATTAAAACAAAAGATTTTTGAAAATGGTTGAATTTTGAGCTCCAAAAATTTAATTTTTTGATGACTTTTTTCACTAAGCTTACTTAAGTTTGTCCTTAGAGAGAGTTCACCGCTAACCATAAGTATCAAAGCATGTCTCATAAAAGTTTTGATGACCATTTTCTAGGCCTACAAAAATGAATTTCCGACTTCTCTTAAAACAAAAACACCTGAATACCCTATTTTGACAAACTTCATTGCGCCGCAGGAGAGCTTTTTTATCTCATCGCTTTTTTATCTCATAACAAGTAAATATTGGGGCAAAAAACATTTTAAAAAATGAGTTAGTCGCCAAAAATTGATGTCGTAAGATATTACAAAGGGGTGGGACCCGTTGTGTGGCGAGGGGATCGAATCCCTGAGAAACGATAAAAGCGTCCGCGACCCCCCTCCCCTAAGTCCGCCCCTGATCCTTTTAATATTTTGCAATCTGAGGGAGGGCTCCCGTAGTTTTATGCGCGCGGCTTCATCCCATTTCTCATTCACGCGAAGTTTCTTTAAATGCCAATTCAATGATCAAGACTTCCAGCGCAATTTTGTGAAAAGAATCGACAAAGAAGTCATTCAAATCAAAACTATTAAAAGACTATAAATTTTTTTATTTGAATTCAGTGATTTTTGATTTGAAACCCAGCTTTTTTGACGAAAATTTAATGGTCTCTGCAAGATTTCTGACTATGGTAAAATTACAGGAAATTGTCTCTTATAAGAATTTTGGCTTCAAGTCGGGAATCAATTGAGACTAAAAAAAATTTAAGCAAGTCTCAAAAGAATTTGGAAAATAGCCTGTTGAAAAAAGTTGCGTTTAGTGAATGAAATCCAGTCCAGTTAAATAGGCCGTCCAACTCCTCGGTAATACCTGAAACAAAAATTATCGGCAAATTGCTGGCGCCATTGGTCAGGGGCGGATCTAGGATTTTCTCGAGGGGGGCGTATTTTCAAAAAATTTTCCATCCAAAATTTTGACGACCTTTTTTTTAGGTCGACCAAATTGTTTTTTCGAGCTCTCCCAAAGCACTGTTTTGCCCCTTTTATGGCAAAAGTTTCTGCGCCGCAGGCAAATTTTTGAAAAAACAGTCAAAAAAACCGTTTTTGGGCACTTTTTGAAAAATTTTGACAAAAAAACGCGTTTTTTTTGGCGCGCGCTCCCCCTCAAAGTTAGTATACATTGGCGCCAAAGGCGCCTTTAGAAACATTTTAGGGTCGGTCGGCCAAAAATGGATTTCTGAAAAAGTATCAAAGGGGGGACCCTTTGGGTCGGCAGGGGGTCGAATCCCTGAGGGGAAGGGCGTCCAACCCCCCGCCCCCCCCTAAATCCGCCCCTGCCATTGGTGATGGTTTTTATATATTGCTAGACCAAAAGGCACTAAGATTAACGCTAAATTTAAATAAAAGAAAATGAACATTTTTTATAGATTTTGACCATTTTATTACTTTTCTATCGAGACCTAAGACATGGCTTTTATCAATGTGACAGATTTTAAATAAAAGCAAAGCTGGAGCAGATAAAGTTTGAAGCTATCCCGAAACGTTTTTTATCGCGTGGAATTTTCTTTGCCATAATGAAAACATTGTTAATTCACCTTTTAAATTTCGTCAAACAGCTGTGTTTCAAACTCTGTGACTTTTGGTAAGCTCATTGTTTCTGAGCACATTAATTAAGTTTTAATTTCCACAATATTGAAAATGTCTAAATACATTTTTTTCCATCAAAAAATTGGGAACCCGACTTGGATTTTCAGAATATGACGAAAAAGAAGAAAAACTGCGTTTTACACCAATAGTTTTGTGATAATTTTTGGTGCTTGTTGTGATCTGATCAGTTTTAACAGGAGCATACAATCGAGCCTTCAATTCCAAGGCAAGATTCTTCCAGAAGAAGCAGACAAAAGGCTGAGGTCAATGCTATCTCTCGAGTTAGAAGGAAAAAGATTTTTAGTATTTATTTCACTGAAGTGAATGTTCTTCGCATATCATTCAAAGTTTTGGGAACAACTAATAAGACTTTTGAAAGGCACAAGGTAATCAACACGAAAGAAAGAGATAGTAAACCGCTAGAAACTGTCATTCAAAACGTAGAAATGTAAACGTTGTAAATCGTCAAATTGTAAATAACACAGAAAGAAAATACGTCCAATCAGACTGGTGTAAATACCCGTAGAGAGTGCTAGTCAGATATGCAGATTGCTGATCAGAATTAATGTATGGTGAGAAATTGGACAAAGCGAAAAATATGACTACTCTGCGCTAATGTCACGACAATTTTTGATGAAGACGGAAAAAAGAAGAAGGAACTATTTATTATTGCTCTCGGAAACGAAAAACAAATTTGCCTAATATTCAAAACGACTCTACCAGCCCTACTAGCTTCCTGGAAAGCAACGTTCTACATTACTTGAAACCAAGAGACCCAGAGGTCCGTTTGTTTCCAGTGAATCAAGTGAATATACTGCGGTTCTCCAACGGATGGTATCATAAAGCGTGTTCATTTTTTGAGACCCTGAATATTCATTTTTTGTGACCCGGAAGATCCTGAATAAAAAATGCTCGTAAATGATAGCCTCTGAAAAAATCGAATGGAAGTTGCACAAAAGAGCTGTCCAAACCACATTTTTTCAAGAACCGGTAGGTTTGTTGACTATACGAAATCTATTTCATCCGCAAAGAATGAGGTAGAAACAATTTTTAAAAAGTTCAAGAATTTATTCTTTTAGATTGGAAAAATCAAGAGACAAAGAAAAATTACTCATATCGATGGCCTCTAAACCGCATTCAGCTGAAAGAAATGATGGTACCTGTAGATTTGTTAGCCTCATTTGAAGACAAACTCCTGAAATCGGACGGAAACCTCAAGAAAATTACAAACTATTACGAATATCGATCTATCATTCCTATTGTATTAACATTCCAAGAAAGAAAAGTCAATTAAACTAGCTTTAGACTCAAAAACCATAAGCAAACAGAGTAACACGAACAAATACGAGATGCAAACAATATATGAGTAAGTGTATACGGTCGCAGTCAACTTATCTGAGAACTCTGTTGGAAATGTTTGGTCTACAAAACTGGATTGAAATAACCCTCATAGTCAATTAGTGCTTAAGGGTTTTACAAGTAAGCAATGCAATTTACGCATCATGGGCAGCGATATAACGGAAACAAATCAAATTTTAACTGGTTTAGTTTGACTGGAGACTTACCCAACGAACTCCAACGCTCTAATGATACAACCAATGAAATTACATCTTGCACAAATTGTTATCTCGTTGATATTTTAATTGCCTCCTGAGGAGAGATTTCTGAACATAAACTAATTGTGAATTAAACCAAATCAATCTAAATATTCGCTGATGAATGGCTCAAATGTAAGTTGAAACCGTCTAGCTAGTGTTCAAGTTTACTGACACCGGAGTTACTCCTATTATCATTAAAACATTAACAATCAAAATCTTTTAAATTACAAGGAACAAGGAAAAAAATTGCTCATTTTTCGGTGCAACAAACAAATGTTTGAGAATCGAATCGAATCTAGCGTTTTTATGTAACCCAATAAGACCCCTTTTAAATATTAAATCGTTTTACCAGCGGAATGAAAATTAAACAAACGTGTTTGAACAGGTCAAAAAAACTGTATTTTATTGAATTCATTCGACTCGACGTCAAACTTCAAGCAAGAATCAAATCTGACTCATAAAACAACGGTCTACGGGCATCAAGATTTTTATTTCTTCACGATGCACTGTACTAAACCAACATATTCGAAATGCTAGAAAGTAGTATGGGCAGTCGAACAATACATAATATATTTGTACGGCTCAGAGTTTAAAATTAAAACTGACCACAAAACCACACTATCTGCTCTTTCAAGAAACCGCTGCGTTAAAACATAACAAAGTAGATTAACTTGTTGGATAGGCAGACAACTACCTTTAAATTGTTCAATCAAACAGATAGCCAATGATATGAATTTCCCCGACTTAAAGCTTGGACTTGCATCGGAAAAAGCAATTCCCCGCTACAATTATGATGAGGAACTCGATGTGGCAAGCATTGTGAGAGTTTACGATGAGTTGAATTCGAATGAACGAAAATCATTTGTGATCCGTAATGCAGTAGCCTTCGAACTGAAAAATTCCAAAATAGCTTTTTTACGTAACAACAATATAGCTACAATCCCTTATTCCTAAAATTTCACGCTTCAACTTTGTTATTTGATCACACGCAATCTGATTTTTGTTCCTTTAATTGTGTTTCACTAAGTTTTTCTAAAATTGACTGAACATTTCTTTTTTTTTGAAAAACTCATTCCTTAACTTTATAACTGAAAAATTCTAGTTTCCCTGAGTGTAAAAGTTACAAATTTTACTTAAATCTGCATAGTTCTGTCATGGCCATCACATTAACCTTCAGTTTACTAAATAGTGATTTCACTGAAACAAGAGAAAAGTCTTCAACAAATCTGACCTTACTAAAAAAACAGAAAAAACTTTCAATTGCCTGAAAAACTTCTGGACGCTACCTCATTATTTAACAAAAAGTTACTAGTCCTTCTGACAGACAAAGATAGGCTGCAAAATCATTTGGTTAAGGTACTTTAAAGAAAAAGTTTCGGATTGAAGTTTCGAGGTCGACGGATTGATGATTGTTGAACATAGACGAAAAATATTCGTATCTTCCGCTGTAAGGAACACAATGAGGAAAACAATTCATTAAATTTAACCTTACCACTTTGGTTTGAGAGTTTCAGCAGAGTATAAATGATGGCCTCACATATACAGACACAGGGCAAACTGTCCAAAATGCACAAACGCGTGTAAGAACCTCAACAATTTTCGAAGTCATAGATTCTTTGGAGAAAAAGTAAAAAATTTTAGATTGCTAAAAAGAAGACTGCGTCAAATTTGCAAATCCATTGAAGTTATCATACGAGTCTGAAGCTTACTTTTTTCTTTGCAATAATTTTCTTTCTTCTTTTTCAGCTAAAATTACTCTAAGAACGTCTACTAGCACAGTTTTTGTTTTGATAAAAAAAATTACCTTTACTTTCATTGAATTCCAAAATCCATTAGAGGCCATCACAGTTTTTGCTATATTAGCATAGAGATTTATTTATGCCGCAATTCCAAAAATATTAGCTCAGTTTATTTAGAAACGGAGATCACAAATACACTGGATTACTATAATTTGTTATACACTCAAACTTGTATATTCTGTAGAAACGCGCTTTCACTATCTATTAACGTTCAACCATCCAATCTACGTTCAACTTTTGGATTTTGGGATCTTACCCTTCATCTATCCAATCTTCAATAAAACGATTTCCTCTTGAAAACCCTTTCGGCAGAAAACTGAAAACCATCTTGAAATCGTTGCCTTCAGATAACCTAATTGACAATTTAGACAAGGAAACGTCAATCATCTCGAAAGACCGAGCTATTAATTGGGGATCAGATGACTAAATTGATGAGGATTTAATAGACGAACTACTCTCCTAGAACAACAGAAATCCGCCGGAATAGGGATATGACTCAGACAATTACACATAAGCGACGTGCTGTCAGAGCAGTAGAATTCAATTTGAGAACCCTTTCGCGAAAAAAACGTTCTTGAGAAACTGATAATCGATCCAACGGAACTCCACACTTCGAGTAACCGAAGGTCCAAATCATTAATTCATCAAAATCTATGTTCGAAGTAGTTGGATAAAAATCATCCATTATCCCAATGTCATTTTCCGTAAAAAGAACCTTTATTTTCTTGGGCGATAAATCGTTTCTTTTTTGTCCTAACTTCCTTCTTGAAGCAGGTACGAAAATTCAGAAGAAAACCAGTTCCCAACCAGCAAACGCAATTAGGGTT